GATAACAAGATCCACATTCATTCCTTAAATAACAACAGGTTTTCGTATTGGAAATAGCAAAAAGGTTTGTACACCTTGCTTGTATAGTCAAGGGACATAATCAGGAAATGTTACCGGTGACTAGATGTTACAATGGTGATTATAATTTTAATTTTTACTTCTCAGAGATATGTTAACCCTAGCCATTTTAAACCTGAGAGAACATGGTGTTTTAGAAGAAATGAGAAAACACTGGTGGCTCAGTAAAGGAGAATGCCCCGTAGAGAAAAAACTGAAAGTAAGGAGACGTTTGAATTTGAGCTGTTTCGTACTATGAAGTGTTTGTATATAATAGAAATTGTGAAATAGTGAGATAGAATAGATTTAAATTAGATTATTGTTCAATCACTCAATCAGGATCAGTTGATTTGAAAAGAAAAAACGCTGTTTCAGCATCAGGAAATGTTAAACTTAATGTATACCAAGTTCCATTGCCGTGGCATAACTCCTTCCGAGTCAACCTATGAACTTTTAGCTCGACCAGAAGATAATGGATTTGCATTTCAAATATTCTATATCATTCTTTTAAACTAACTTCACAAACATTGCTCTATCACTAGAAGTTACGCCTATATGCTCGTGCCTGTGCTTTCGTAATATTGCTTAACCGCAATGTAACAACCTAAAATTCCTAGTAATCTGTGATGATTGTTCATGCAAAAGTCTGATTTAGTTATCCATTGGCCGGAACACTAATTTCTTAGCGAGATTTCTTGGAACTCATTGACGTTTTTTGTGTTGCTTTAATCAATTACTTATTTTTTTTTGAATATATCGTATTATAGGAGTATTCTGTTGTATGGTACAGATGACTTATAAAATTATAAACTCTCATAGGACAAGTTTGAAACTCTAAAATGTATGTTCATTCTAAGACGTAGTATTCCTTCTCTTTTCCAGGACAGTGCTGAAAACTCATTGACATTAGTTAAAGTGGCTGGTATTTTCTATATTTTAATAGTAGGTTTAGCACTTTCTGTTGTCGCAGCGGTGCTCGAATTTTTGTATAAAACTAAAATAGATTCTAGAAAACAAAATGTAAGTAGCTAGGTTATTTTACTTGTATTTTCGACGATTTGAAAAATCCTGACTCTTCAACCGCGTTGTATTCGATTCCATCTATGGCGTTTTTTTGCCGAAAATGGGAAACGTTATTATCATGTAATAAGCAATATCTCCATTCCATTAAGTACCTCCTCGTTTCACTAACCTGTCTGACTTGTGATACCCAATAGCAGAAATATCTTGATCTTTTTTAATTGATGATGAGCGTTATAATTCAATATGTGTCATGGATGAAATAAGATATTGGTGGAGTTTTCAAGAACAATGACCTAAAATTGAATATAGCTTTTCAAGTTTTTACTAGTGCGCCTGAGAAAACAATTCCTTGTATCTTGCATTTATTTTCTAAGCAAGTTTTCTATAAATATTGTTTAATCCCAGCAGGAAATGCTTACTCCTCTAGACACCTGATACCACTTTTCATAATGAAATACTTCTCCATTTATAATGGATATACTTCCGCAAAAGTTCATTAGCTGCATACAACCACTGTATTGTCAATTGTTTTTTTGGATTTCGGGTTTTGGGTTTTGTTTTGCGGTTTGGATCGTTAGTAGGGGCTTTTTAATCAAACGAAAATGATGAAACAACATAGAATTGTGATTTTTAAATCTTCCTTGAATTTAATAATATATTGATTCTGCTAACATTATTTTCCTATAACGTAATGAAATATTGAATATTCATTTCACATTGCCATATACGATAAAATTCCGAGTACAAAACGCACCCTTGTATAATACGCAATTTAATGTTATTACCATCTGTACTTTCATTACATGCATTTTCTTTTTCAGGTTTCATTTAAGTCTGAGGCTCGTTCTAAATTTAGATTATCAATATCAGGGCACTCAGATGACGATTCGACTGGAGTAAGAACACCATTAAGAACTGCTACTACCGTAAGTTGTATATTTGTTTTCTGTGTAAGACAGGGGTGTTCAGCCGAGGGGAATAACCTCCAAGGGGGTAATTTAGAAAATTGTGTGGGAAAATTAGTCGCTTTTACAGGGAAAATCCTGAGAGAAAATCACGAAATAGTAAGCATTTTTGGTGCGAAGAGGGGTAATAGTAAAGATTTATAGAGGAAAGGACTTAATTGATTTCGAATCCTGAAAGGGTTAATAGAAAGAAAACGGTTGAAAGCCCCTAAAAGGGTAATAGAAAGAAAGAAAAAACCCTGGTTTAAGACATCCAATGGTATCATTGCTATACATATGCCGAGCACATTTTCTATACATGAATATTCTTGTCTCGGTATTACTTTCAATGGGCATGGTCGCCATTGTTGGGCGTTGATTTGAGTCTTGAATATTATGAAAATAGTCCTATGTTTCAAAACGTAGTTTTTCAAACACAGTATATCCATATAGCTTGTTTTTTAACACTTCAAAACTTCTTTGTTTATTTTTCAGTTTTCGTACACAGGATATGATACAGGCAGTAGAAACAGGCGAGCTGGTAAAACTCACACTATTGTCTGACGTACGATGTATCTCTGTATCTCTGTATATATTTGTAGATTATCTCATCCACGAGGTTCCTTCTCATACCATTCACACCAAAGACGCCGTTAGTCACTAACTGGAAAGTGAAAGAAAGAGGGCCCACTTTAGACAGGTGGACTCTAAGCACACCTCATTGCCCGATGCATGGGGTCGTCCAATTTGGACTCAAGATTATATTCCATCTATTTAAAGGACGAAAATCCGAAGTTTCAAAACACAAACACATAGAAGATGCGAAGTTCCATTTGGATATAATTCGACATATCGATTGCATCGTCATGAATCTTGAAATTTAATTATCTCGCGCTCTTTCTGTAATCTAAAGGTGGCAAGACCAATCTTCACAATGTCGAACAACATCTAATCTGATACCTTGACTTCAAGAACCACCTTTCTTGTATACGCAGCGATTTGGTTGGATTGTACGCTAGCGAATAAAGCTAATCAGAGTCTTCGACAGCAAGTCTCCAATGTTTATAGTATACGCCATGTTTACAATTTCTCTGTCTATGGCTATGTATTCGCTGCCGTTAATTAGATCAAATCGCTGCATCCCGTAATACAAGAGAGGTGGCTATTGCAGTCAAGGTGTTTGACGAATGTATGAATAGTTTGATATTATGAAGATGGGCTAGACCCAACAGAACGTATGCCCATATCTTGTTTATCGTTATGGAGTGTGGTGAGAATCAATGTCATTATAAGTTCACAGTTTGATATTATTGGTGCTTTCAATTTTTTCTATCGTTTGTAAATAGTTCATTTTTTATTGTTAATTGGGGCGATAACACATACTAGATCACAGCAGTAGACAATGGGTGTTAGAACCAAAGGAATTAACTTTGAAAACATTTGGTGTTCCATCTTTTTAGCGGTCAATATATTACGAACTTAACTTATAACTTGGCTACAATAGTCACTGTTCTTGTATCATGGAATGCAGCAATTTGATTGGATTGTACGCTGACGAATACGATTAATCATTGCCCTCGACAGAAAGACTGTGACTATTGTGGCTTATCATTTACAGACGTTCTGTCGAGGGCTCTGATTGGCTATATTCACTGGCGTACAATTCGTAATACCTTGACCATTGTGAAGATGTTAGTGCTCTAAAGCATTGTGCCACAGAAAACTGCCATTGTACTAAGCACAATCCGCTGCCTTGTTCGACATGAATTTTTGTATGGTGCAGAAGTAGGACATAAAACTCCATTCCATGTTGTTTTATTTACGTAGGTTCTTATGTAAATTTGTATGATTATATTTATGCACATAATGTAGAATAAACTCACTTTCACTCATGTTTTCTCTCCTGTACATTGAGTTCGAATAAAACTGTTTTCTTCTAATATAGTAAGTAGTTTAGATTGTATGTCTGCAAAAGGCAAGAGACTGGGCGATGTTTTGACATCTCAAGTTCTCAAAGATCGCAGTTCTATCAATGAGGAGATGTCGAACTTGCCACGTGTCATACAGGTCTTGTTTCCGCCGAATCCAGAAAAACGTTGCAATATCTCTATCGATCTAGCCATTGATATATATTTTACTGTTCACCTTTCTGCTGCTTGGTGTAGATTCATTTCTCTCTAAAAGGGCACATTATAGTGATCACATGGTAAAAGACCGCAAGCAAGAAAGGACGTAAATTTTAATTTCATGTACAAGACGAAAAAACAAACATGAAAAGATTGGTAATACATTGTATTTCGTTAAAAACGTCAAAATTTAACACTTATTAAAATATAAATATGGGTATCTTCAAAACATATATACGCTTTTTATGTGATTTTAGTTTCTTAGAAAATAATAATTATTTGTTGAGTTGTGTCGACATATCGCAACACAAGACAATGCATAGTTAAATATTACAGCTATGTAAGGGGTGTTTCACCACTATTGTTCTGTATGTTGACATCACAGATAGTATACTTCGTTAAATACCTTGCAATTTCTATATGTACCATCTGGTAGAACACGTGGACCAGTTAAAAGTCTTAACTGAACACAGGAGCTGGTATAAGATCTGTTATACACAGATTTCCTTTATTGGCTTTGGAAGGGATCGCGTTTAGCAGGGATTAAGAAGGTCTTGGGTAGTTTTTGGTGAAAATAAGAAGAATTGCTATACATTTTAGTCTGTCTCCAAACCATTGTGCCTTGGAAAAGAGGATAACAAGAGTCTGAATCCAGTCTGTCAATAGGCATACATAGCCTATTAACAACGTGTGTACAGCGTCCAATAAACTTCTTTACTTAACTATTTGTATATAGACTCACAATCAACACCCTGTATTAATAGACAAATGAAATGAATGGAGTTTTACGTTCTACTCTTCTGAACCTTATTGCGCCAAACAAGCATATAAATAATGAGACGACATTGCATTCTATAATTTTGCCTAAATTAAACTATTAACAAGTTTGTGAAATGAATATTTATTTTTCCTTCGCAAAAAAACAAAACATTTTGAACTCCCTTTATTCTGTTAGCATACAATTGAAATGAAAATGAAATAAATGGAGTTTTACGTCCTACTTTTCTGCACCATTTGGGCTAGTGAAGACGGGCAACGCCAAGCAGGGTGCAATGAGGGGAATTTTGCCAGGATCTTTTTCGATTTCCAACTGTCGAGGGATCTTTAACAGAGCCTGTAGCAGACGGGGCCTTGGTTTATTGTTCCTTCCGAACGACTCGGCATACAGATAACATATTATATCGTGGTGACACTTCACAACTGATTATTGTTAGCCATTCCCAGTGATGTGTGATACTTATGATTGTGGATTTCTTTCATCCAAATTACCAAACCAATTGGGTTATAGCTTTTACTTTAAGAAACTGTAATTTACGAATCTTTTGATATTAAATCTTCTATTCAATGTGTAAATAAATGTAAAGATGACGCAAGATGTTTAACAATGTTTTATTATTCGTATTTGCATATTATTCAGTGCCAACATCACAACGGTGACTAGTAAATACGATGTTAGCAATAATAACGAGGCCTATATTATAGAAAGATCAAGTATGTTATAGAAAGATCAGGTACATGTATGTTATAGAAAGATCAAGTACATGTATGTTATAGAAAGATCAAGTATGTTATAGAAAGATCAAGTATGTTATAGAAAGATCAAGTATGAATAAGACTATGTTGTCATCAAAATTAGACCACGCGGACCAAACTATTTTATTAAAATTAGAAGTTTAAATCGTATTGTTTTTTATATAATACTTTGATATGAGAGGGTTTTGTTAAAAAACTTCCATAATTCTTAATGAGGAATAATGCTTCAGCACTCGTCATCAAGAACGCTAGGTAGACTGGAGTATGATTCTTTAACACTGAACACCTAATCACGTGATTAACTCTATTTGTGTACAATGTAATGATATTCTAATCAACTTCCTTTTAAGCAAAAATCGCCATATCAAAACCCACTTAAAGTGGTAGAAAGCAGTGAACAGGTATTGTCATTTTATGATTTAGGTCAAGAATAGTTTCAATAGACTGTTTTCATCGAGGGAATTGGGAAGGGGCGATATGCGTATGGGGCGATGTCATGTTTCATCAAAGCTCTATTTAACGAAACTGATCTCGTCTCAGTTCAAAGGTCGCCATATTTTCTCATTATTCCAGTTTACCAAGCTATACATGTGAGCTGAAAAATTCATCTTCCATCACTACAGTCGATCCAGCTGTATATATAGGTGCGGATAATCAGAACAAGATCAATGCTAAGAGGCTCAAACAAGTTAAAAATTTAACACCGATGGTCGGCTAGCAGTGATTCAGAAAAGCCATAACCACTGGCGTTACTGTCAGCTGTCAGGAAATATACCAGGATAAATCAGTTAAAAATATGTGAACAACATGTTCTGCGTTTCGGCTCAATCGATTTACTGAATCAACCCACTCTTTCTGTTTCTATATAAACTCAAACAATCATCACTGATCATAAAACTTGATTATCGAATCAATATGATGGTCAATGCTAATTTGATGTTGATGGTGGTCTTGCTGTGGGTCGGGGCATTATCAGTGGCCAGTCCTAAACTTCACCGCAACAAGTGGGGAATAGGTCAGTATAGTAGAGTTTGTGGGAATTGCAGCCGGCTTGGAAACAAATTCCGTCGAATTCGCTAGAACTTTTGGCTGACAGCTTTAGAACGTTTAACCCGGTTACTTGTCTGAAAAATAAGGAATAAATAATTTTGTTGTAGATTGTGATAAATATATTCTGCCAATAAATGCAATATGGACACCCAGGGCCAGCTGCGAAGATAATAAACGATTCAGATGCCAAATCGGCTATGTATCACAAATCCAGACTATATGTAAAAAGGGTGAGTGGTCTATGGAACCAACTTGTCAAGGTAAGAATCAATTTCCTTACAGTCTCTTTACATTTCAATTTAGATTTACATTCCGGAGAGAGAGTATTTTTTTAGGTTGGATAAATAATAATATAATGTTTCATAAATAATATCGAGTCGGGAAGAAAGGCTCTTTTTGGGGATATAAAATGAAATATATTGATGTATATTGATTGTCTCTTTTTGTCCTTCCATCAAGCCCAAGGTTATTTCTCATCTTAGGAGTGTCCACAAGGAGAGAAAATCTCTAACTCTAATGATGTAACAGAAACCAGAATATTTACTCTACTCTTGGGTTATCTATTAAATATATTTTACTTTATCAGCTGTAGAGTGTCCACAAGATATGAATATCACTAACTCTGATGAAGTAACCGAGTCTGGCATTTACGGTGGAGAATTTAGTTTTAACTGTTCAGTTGGCAGTGGGCAGAGAGCTCCTGTTCTTTCCTAGAATCCTTGAATTTTCACCTTTTACAATGACTATCTCACCGTAATTTGTATGTTGAGGTTTCATTTCACTTTGTCTAATTTAATTTACTATTTCAGCTGTAGAGTGTCCACAAGGTATGAATATCACTAACTCTGATAAAGTAACCGAATCTGGTATTTACGGTGGAGAATTTAGTTTTAACTGTTCAGTTGGCTACACTAAGAATGGTGGGACGGGTACTCTGAGGTGTGGTGAAGATGGCACGTGGACAGAACGGAAAGCTTGTCAAGGTAACAATTTTTAACTTTCAAGAATTGTACAGCGTTAGGTTGCCTGCTTTTGTAAAATTCTATTCATAATGGTTTTTATCATGCCTTCAGTTAACTATTGATTTGACAGGGCTCGTTTAGTATACAAATACAAGACCTACTTTAAAAATTTGAACTAAACGTAAAATATATCTAGAGTACAGAGTCCTGTCTCTGAAATTCAAGATGATTTTTTACAAGAGTGATGGCAGTGGGCAGAGAGCACCTGTTCTTTCCTAGAATCCTTCAATTTTCACCTTTTACAATGACTATCTCACCGTAATTTATGCGTTGAGGTTTCATTTCACCTTGCCTAATTTATTTTACTATTTCAGCTGTAGATTGTCCACAAGGTATGAATATAACTAACTCTGACGATGTAACAGAACCCGCAATAGTTGATGAAGACTTTAGTTTTAACTGTTCAGTTGGCTACACTAAGAATGGTGGGACGGGTACTCTGAGGTGTGGTGAAGATGGCACGTGGACAGAACGGAAAGCTTGTCAAGGTAACAATTTTTAACTTTCAAGAATTGTACAGCGTTAGGTTGCCTGCTTTTGTAAAATTCTATTCATAATGGTTTTTATCATGCCTTCAGTTAACTATTGATTTGACAGGGCTGGTTTTAGTATACAAATACAAGACCTACTTTAAAAATTTGAACTGAACGTAAAATATATCTAGAGTACAGAGTCCTGTCTCTGAAATCCAAGATGATTTTTTAAAAAGTGATGGCAGTTGGCAGAGAGCACCTGTTCTTTCCTAGAATCCTTGAATTTTCACCTTTTATAATGCCTTAAATAACGGAATACAATTTTATGGTATACTACTCCTTAGTTTTATTACACACGACGTTTCAATAATCTACATTGTCATCTTCAGGTGAAGTGAGGAAATATGGTACAAGATGACACTGTGACAAATGATGATTGTTGAAACGTCGTGTGTAATAAAACTAAGGAGTAGTATACCATAAAATTGTGTTCCGTTATTTAATGTGATCTCTATCCCTAAATGTCGCTAAAGAATTATTTATAATGCCTATCTCAACGTAATTTATGTGTGGGGTTTTCATTTCACCTTGCCTAATTTATTTTACTATTTCAGCTGTAGAGTGTCCACAAGGTATGAATATCACTAACTCTGCTGAAGTAACAGAATCTGGTATTTTTGGTGAAGAATTTATTTTTAATTGTTCAGTCGAGAATGGTTTGACCGGTACTTTGAGGTGTGGTGAAAATGGCAATTGGAAAGTGCAGCAAGGTTGTCCAAGTATGAGAACATTCTGTATACTGTGTTGCAGTCATGGGCGTTCAGGACGAAAGCCTGTTTGGGAGAAGGGGGTTGGGCTGTTGGTTAGGGCATGCTGGTTTGCCCGCAATTGTTTGGGTAGCTGCCCCCTTCCCTCGACCGTTGTCACCCAAATGAGTCAGTCTGTCCGCCATTTGTATCCCCAGTTTCGAGAATCTGGCGCCGAAACAATGTAGTGTATAGGTCCAGATTTAGTTGTATGAGGACGATAAACGTCTCAATTATAGAAGAGAAGAGGTCATCAGGTTAGGTCAAAGGGTTATTGGAATGAATGTTCAAGAACGCCGTCGTTAGACCCTAACAGTAGTGGCTACATTTAAAGCTGCGAACGATAGTTTGGTCTAATCTGAATTATGGTGGCATTACAACCGTTCAGCAACCTCGACCTCGACCAATTATTTATGAATACGATTTATGTTTCAGGTGCACGTGAACAGGGAATTTTTGACAATAACAGATACGATGTAATTTCCACTTCAAATTGTTCAGAAGCGTGTGCTAACGATTCTCGATGTGGCTTGTTTCTATCATTGTCATTTTATGAATGCAATCTCTTTCCAAAACCACTTATCTACACAGATTTTGTTACCAAATCAACACTTTCCCAATGTATACAGAGATGTAAAGATGACACAAGATGTTTGGTATTATCTTTCTTAAAAGACTCTTGTGGTTTATTTAGTGAAAACTTCACCACGGTATATGACCAATCAGGGATTTACCATGTAGCAGGGGGGGTCATTTTTGAAAGATCTGATCTTTATTAGTTGATGTTTTCAACCAGTCGAATTAAACTTATACCACAGTCTCCGGCACACCAGTGGGGGTTCAGGGGGAGGGGGTAAATTTGCCCCATAGTAAAATGGTTTACAATCCCAATCTAACCCCCACTGTTTTTTTTTTTACTTTTTTGAACCAAAGATTGCCTCAGAATGCATCAAATCAGTTCAATTTTCATAGAGGCTTGCAACTATGACGCTTTAACAGAGTTACCGCATTTGAATTCTTGCTCGATAGTTTGTTCCCCCCCCCCACCCCCTATTTGTACCCCCAGACTATTACTGGATGAGGCTAATACCACTACAGTTAGTGGCCACATTAAAAAACCCAATAAAAAACGGAAGGAACGTTTGGTCTAAGTTTTATTATTCTATGTTGTCATCATAATAAAGATTTTTTTTTTCTTTCAAAATAAAGAATTTATCAATGTTAAATCTTTTGCCTTTTAACTATTACTACAGGGTGTTTCGAAATAATACCCCCTCCCCCTCCTCCTCATTCACTACAATAGATATGGAATAAAACTATAATGATTCAGAACAGGTCTCTATTTATGTAACCTCTATCTGCCTGTACCAGAGCCTGCTTTCTTTATCGGTATGATTTTAGCAAAGTGCAAAATAGCTGAGAGCCAAACTCCACTTCCCATAATCTGCAGTTTTACAAAAAAAAAAGTGGAAACAGTGTGCAAACTTCGGTAAGGAATCTTAAATGGCTGTGATTTAGGGTATGTTTTCATTGCTACACTGCAGCTCCAGTATATAGGATACCGGAACAAATCCGTCATAAAGAGCTAGATATTTCAATGTAAATGTTGGATCTCTCTTGAATCGCATTATCTTTCCATTACCGATCTGATTTCCGACTCCAAACACAATGTCTAATGACGCCTCACTCCATGTCAACCAGAATGGTTTAAACCGTTTCGGCTCTAGCATAAAGTTGTTATCGTAAGTTTTAGTTTTAAATCTGGTTTTTGATTTTGCTCCAGTCCACGTGTTTCCCCCACCCCCTATCACTATTTCATACATAAAATTGTTAGGACGAGTTCCATTAAAAAGTCCGATAACTCCATCATAGTCACCTTTAATCCAGATCATTTTACTGTTCTGATACTGTACGTTATGGAATTCTGTAAATGTCCTGTATCTATTTTGAGGCATTTTGATTATTCTGCTGGTAAGTGTATTCATTATCACAATAATATGATCCTTGAGTATATCACAATATAAACACCAATATCTGTTTCTTTATGACACTGAAACTTTAAAAATTAGTTTTTCTGCTCAGTAACTTTCTATTCCTATGGTTTCAGTCTGACCCCAAATCAAAATTGTTCTGGTTTTTTGGGGGTTTTTTCACCTCCTTTTATCAAACTGTAGTGGAAATTACTGCATCAACTTTAGTTGTTATTGTAGAACATAACGCAATTATTTCTACCGGCCATTGTGCACAACGTTTCAACAATTTACATTGTCATCATCAGTTTATATGGTTAATTACTCCTTGATTTTATAGTACACAACTTTTCAACAAATTGTCAGTTTATATGATATACTTATCCAAAGTTTTAATGAACACAACGTTTTAACAATTAACCTTGTCATCACCATGTGCATATAACAGTTTTGTGTTTTATATTTTAAAGAGAACGAATCCTTGATACAGTCACGCCTTGTTAGATTTTCTCTTTCCCAGCAAACAAAAACATTCCATAATTTGTCTGAAAACGTTAACCGGAAGTCTGGTTGTTTACATTTTAACCAGTCTAATTGGCTGATATTTTCTTTCATGTCTTTGTTTGTTTCTGCTGGTCGGATTATTTTTATAATTAACAAACGTCTGTATGCTGCATATTTCATACATCCATTCTCATTCTAATGTCATTGAGCTTGTTAATTTCCGCGATCGTTAAAGATAAATAAATAAATTATGTGTATCGGGAACACTGATATCAATTTGCACCATTCCAATTTTCGAACCTCTGGCGGTTCCTTCAATTTCACTTAACTAAGTGTTTGTTGATGTAACTATAATCAAGGCTCATATCTCGACGTGGAGTTGTGAACACTTACTGAAAATTCCCGATCCCGAAACTAAGGCATGTATTACCCATAAATGTAATACCCACTATAAATGTAATACCCACCATAAATGTAACAAAATTTAATAAATAAGAAAAAAATTGGAATGAAAAAAAATAAAATTTTATAGATTTCAACACGCCATTTTCGCACCCAATTGGAATGAAATGAAGAAAAAAGAAATGAATGGAGTTTTACGTTCTTATTTTGTGCACCTAGTTGGGCTAAAAAAAAGAGACGGACAACACCATACAGTGAGGAATGCGAGAAAGTTTGCCAGGACAGCGACATAGGGCTTTTCTTCTTCAACTTCCAACTGTCGAGGGATCTTTAAAGAGCACAGCCTGTGGCACACGGGGTCTCCGTTTATTGTCCAATCCGAACGACTAGACCTTGCATAATGTACGTAGGAGACCCGGATGAACAATCTGAAGTTATTATCTCGATCTATGCCGGAATTGAGATCTGGAACCCTAAGGTTACCAAGCAATCGTCTATCTCATAGAGACACCATGACTACTCCAATTGGAATAGAGAAGACAAAGGAATTGGGGAAGATGTAAAATTGAGCAGAGAGAAGTAATTAAGGTAGATGTTAAACTGAGCAGACAGAAATAATTGAGGTAGATGTAAAACTGAGTAAACAGAAGTAATTGGGGTAGATGTAAAACTGAGTAGACAGAAGAAATTGGGGTAGATGTAAAACTGAGCAGACGGAAATAATGTAGGTAGATGTAATACTGAGAAGACAGAAGTAATTGTAGTAGATGTAATACTAAGAAGACCGAAGTAATTGGGGTAGATGTAAAACTGAGCGGGCAGAAGTAATTGGGGTAGATGTAAAACTGAGCGGGCAGAAGTAATTGGGGTAGATGTAAAGCTGAGTGGGCAGAAGTAATTGGGATAGATGTAAAACTGAGCGAGAAGAAGTAATTCGGGTGGATGTTAATCTGAGAAGACAGAAGTAATTGTAGTAGATGTAATACTAAGAAGACAGAAGTAATTGGGGTAGATGTAAAACTGAGCGGGCAGAAGTAATTGGGGTAGATGTTAAACTGAGCGGACAGAAGTAATTGGGGTAGATGTAATGCTGAGCGGGCAGAAGTAATTGGGGTAGATGTAATACTGAGAAGACAGCATTAATTGTAGTAGATGTAATACTAAGAAGACAGAAGTAATTGGGGTAGATGTAAAACTGAGCGGGCAGAAGTAATTGGGGTAGATGTAAAACTGAGCGGGCAGAAGTAATTGGGGTAGATGTAATACTGAGAAGACAGAAGTAATTGTAGTAGATGTAATACTAAGAAGACCAAATTAATGGGGGTAGATGTAAAACTGAGCGGGCAGAAGTAATTGGGGTAAATGTAATACTGAGAAGACAGAAGTAATTGTAGTAGATGTAATACTAAGAAGACCGAATTAATGAGGGTAGATGTAAAACTGAGCGGGCAGAAGTAATTAGGGTAGATGTAAAACTGAGTAGACAGAAGTAATTGGGGTAGATGTAAAACTGAGCTAGCAGAAGTAATTGGGGTAGATGTAAAGCTGAGCGGGCAGAAGTAATTGGGGTGGATGTAAAACTGAGAAGACAGAAGTAATTGGGGTAGATGTTGAACTGAGCAGACAGAAGTAATTGGGGTAGATGTAAAACTGAGCAGACAGAAGTAATTGAGGTAGATGTAAAACTGAGTAGACAGAAGTAATTGGGGTAGATGTAAAACTGAGCGGGCAGAAGTAATTGGGGTAGATGTAAAGCTGAGAGGGCAGAAGTAATTGGGGTGGATGTAAAACTGAGAAGACAGAAGTAATTGGGGTAGATGTAAAACTGAGCGGGCAGAGGTAATTGGGGTAGATGTAAAACTGAGCGGGCAGAAGTAATTGGGGTAGATGTAAAGCTGAGTGGGCAGAAGTAATTGAGATAGATGTAAAACTGAGCGAGCAGAAGTAATTCGGGTGGATGTAAATCTGAGAAGACAGAAGTAATTGTAGTAGATGTAATACTAAGAAGACAGAAGTAATTGGGGTAGATGTAATACTAAGAAGACAGAAGTAATTGGGGTAGATGTAAAACTGAGCGCGCAGAAGTAATTGGGGTAGATGTTAAACTGAGCGGACAGAAGTAATTGGGGTAGATGTAATGCTGAGCGGGCAGAAGTAATTGGGGTAGATGTAATACTGAGAAGACAGCATTAATTGTAGTAGATGTAATACTAAGAAGACAGAAGTAATTAGGGTAGATGTAAAACTGAGTAGACAGAAGTAATTGGGGTAGATGTAAAACTGAGCGAGCAGAAGTAATTGGGGTAGATGTAAAGCTGAGCGGGCAGAAGTAATTGGGGTAGATGTAAAGCTGAGTAGACAGAAGTAATTGGGGTGGATGTAAAACTGAGAAGACAGAAGTAATTGGGGTAGATGTAAAACTGAGCGGGCAGAAGTAATTGGGGTAGATGTAAAGCTGAGTGGGCAGAAGTAATTGAGATAGATGTAAAACTGAGCGAGCAGAAGTAATTCGGGTGGATGTAAATCTGAGAAGACAGAAGTAATTGTAGTAGATGTAATACTAAGATGACCGAAGTAATTGGGGTAGATGTAATGCTGAGCGGGCAGAAGTAATTGGGGTAGATGTAATACCGAAAAGACAGAAGTAATTGTAGTAGATGTAATTCTAAGATGACCGAAGTAATTGGGGTAGATGTAAAACTGAGCGGGCAGAAGTAATTGGGGTAGATGTAAAGCTGAGAGGGCAGAAGTAATTGGGGTGGATGTGAAACTGAGAAGACAGAAGTAATTGGGGTAGATGTAAAACTGAGCGGGCAGAGGTAATTGGGGTAGATGTAAAACTGAGCGGGCAGAATTAATTGGGGTGGATGTAAAACTGAGCGGACAGAAGTAATTGGGGTAGATGTAAAGCTGATCGGGCAGAAGTAATTGGGGTAGATGTAAAACTGAGCGGGCAGAAGTAATTGGGGTAGATGTAATACTGAGAAGACAGAAGTAATTAGGGAAGGTGTAAAACTAAGCAGGCAGAAGTAATTGTTGTAGATGTAAAACTAAGCAGGCAGAAGTAATTGTGAAGTAGTAGGTTTCGGGGCAGGGAGGCAGACAGACGTTGAAAATTTATGTACAGAATTAAAAAAAATAAACACCAAAATATAGATAAATATGTCTGCAACTATTTCTGAGGTTTCAACAGATCACATGGAGCATATATGGCTTTACTATCAATTTCTTCGCGTTTTAATTACCCATTTTAAAACAAATTCAGGTTAACCTGATAAATACATAAAATACATAGAACGTAAAATCATCTCAGAAAATTTTACATTATTCAGAATGTTTTTAAATATTGATATTCTTCATACCATACATCTCTAACAAATGGCTCAATTGCAACTGGCTTAATTGGCTTATATAGCTCGGGATAATCTTTAAACATTAAAAAATCATTAAGAGGATTTCCAACTTTAGAAATGAGTATTCCTGTGTCTATTACTAGACCCATGTTTTGTCGGATAACTCTTCTACACTTTTCTTTAAGGCTCAGATTTCTGGTGAAAAGATAAAAATCTTCTCTCTGTCTTTTTCCTGAAATTGCTAATAATGATTGACAACTTTCCTCTAGTTTGAAATTTAATATTTGTGTAATTTTGACAAATGAGCCACCACATAAATACATGATTTTCCTTAATTGTTGTCTTGATTCTGAAGACAATTCCTCCAGAGACAACCGACTGAAGAAGTTTTCTCTATCATCTGAGGTTAAAAGTTCCAGATTGACATTTTCAATAGTAAGAAATTTGATAAAATTAACCACACGATTAATATGCCATAATGGTTTGAATTTGAGTACATTTGGAATAATAGTATTACCTCTACGGTTTAGTAAATACCTCACAATTTTTGTATTTTCAAACCATTCAGCTGTATGTAGAGGTGTTTCATTATTATTGTTCCATGTATCAACATTACAGTCTCTATGGTCGATTAAACACTTTGCAATTTCTATATAGTTAAACCTTGCAGCTATATGAAGGGGCGTTTCATAATTATTGTTCTGTAAGTTGACATCACAGCTAGTATACTTGGTTAAATATCTTACAATTTCTATATATTCCCCCCGCACAGCATTGTGCAGCGGTGTTTCACCACTATTGTTCCGTAAATTAACATTACAGCTAGCTTGCTCTGCTATACACCTTACAATTTCTATATATCCCCCCTGTATAGCTGAATATAAGGGTATATGACCAACAAAGTTCGTTAAGTTTATATCACAGGTAGTGCACTCTGCTAAGCACCTTACTATTCCTATAGTTTTCTCCAATGCAGTGAGATGTATATCTTTATTTAAGGATGTGAAAACACGACTGTCCTCGACATTGACATCACGGGTAGTTGGATCTGGCAAAAACCTTTCACATGCTGAACATGAATTACCCTTCTATACGGCAAGATTTACAGCTATGTGTAAGGGTGTATCACCTTCTAAGTTCCATACGTTGACATCACAATCACCCCTCTTTATCAAACTATATACAGTCATTAGATCGTTATTGTGTACGGCACTAAATAAAGATCTGGACTGTAATAAACAAAACATTAACTATTCGATCTTGTCTCAAACTAGCATGGACTGTTATGTCATTCTGTGTTCTCCCGCCAAAAATGTGGGGCCTTGGAAGAATGTTTGGGGGATTTTGGGATTGCAAAATATTGAAAATTGAACACGACGACGATCTATTCATCTAGTTAGGCCAATATTTGAATGCAAACCATAATTTTCATGCTAACAAGCTAGTACTTGAGCGACCTCTACTTAGTTTAACAGGGAAAGACACTTATATAATACTGTAGAGACTGGAAAACCGTACTTACAGTGTTTGTAAATTTAAATTAGGGAATACTTACTTCACGTGAGTCCGAACTGTGCTGGAGGTGACGGCCAGAGTTACCGCCGTGACAGCAAACAACTAGAAAATATCAAAATACGTGTAAATAATAAAAGTATGTCTGAACAATACCTGAAAGATTTATTAAGTGAAACAAATGATACTAAATAGGAACCAAGTTTGAACACTTCATTTATTTGAGTTCCAAAATTGAATGATGGTTATGTGTTTGCAGATATATTTCTTAAGGTTATAACGACCAAAACTTACCTCCCCTAAAAGAGCAAGTTCCCATAGCAACTCTTTAAGAGGTTGAATACTTTGAAAGAACTGAAAAAAAAACCAAAATCTTTATGACAAGATACATGACTAGGAATACAGGTCAAGGGCTCTAAGAACACACATTCAAGAATAAACAGTGACTCAACTCAAGTGGGTTCGCTTCCCCGGGAAAGTTCTTTTAAACATATGCTCTCTGGGGGTTGGGCCTCCTTCGGTGTAGGGGCCCGTGGACTTTCTTCAACCAGTCCCTATGGTAGTTGAGCCACTGGACATTGAACTCAGTCTGTTAGTGCTTCATTTGTTTGGTAATACTGAACAGTTATGGTCGGTGGGTGATTTTGATCTCTTCTTTTAATCTGTAAACCATCGAGGTACCGTGTTCAATTATTTCAATAGCAACATAACTGTTTGTAATTGAGTCTCTCAAGTCAAGGCTTAAGTATTGTCATTGGTCGTTCGACAGTGCCAAGCATCAAACTGCTCTGAAAGCTGAAAACAAAATTGCTTTTACAAACGTTACACCGATCCGAAACATAGACAATTGGTCGAAATGACTAGTATAATGAGCCACCCTATGTAATTGTAGTTTGATCTATATATATATAACATGTAAAAAGAGTTGTCTCCCTGTATGATTAATGGTATGTGGTGTTCTTGTAAGAGTTAAGTGTAGACCACCGAAATGAATAAACATTATTGAATTTCAAGAACAATATTCTATATTTTTCTAAGTGCAAGTGCCCAAACAAACCCCCTGATGTGACAAATTGGCGACAAGGATGGGATCAATTCAGAACAGCGTGAATTGAAAATCAGGTGAATGTTTGTTAGGTGCATTTTGAGGTGAGAATAATTAGTGGAATTGTTTATTGACAGGAAGTGAAACCGGAAGAGAGAAGAAACGTGGTCTGAGAAATTTTCAGTGAAGAACATTCTGGACAATTTTGATTTTAAAAGGAACAGCGAAGATTAAGATTTTAAAATGGCTTCCAAAGGTGATGTGCCTACTAAAGAAACTGATGACAATGAAAAGGGGTGTCTAAAAATGATAGTGAAATTTTTACTGAAAAACTAATTAATCAATAACTGATTTGGTAACAGAGTTGGCTGTAATCCAACTTGGAGCTTGTGAACCAACGTTCAGGTCCGGGCAATATGCACTACAGTCTGCATGCATGCTGCAAGGTGTGGTTATGATGACGGGCAAAGAGGTTTTGGTCAATGTAGTGGAGAGCTGTGATTCCATTATCCCTGCATGGACGGTGATGATCTCATGATTGGGCCACGAGCAGGACGGTGGCAGGAGATGTTGACAGTACGATCACTGTTACCATTGTCAATGGTCTGCCGAGCTGTTACAGTGGCCATTCGTAATCGGTTCTGCAGATGTTGGCGTATCATCTTGTCTGTGTGTTGTAACTCTCGGACGACCATTATGCGGACGGTCGTTGGTGGTGTTGTAGCGATATATCGTTCTGACGTTGATATTGAATGCAACGACCTATGCACTCTGTCCTGCTTGCAGTCTTCTGATCGCTTGTTGTCTCTCATTTCCTGATAATCTTGGCATGGCTGATAAATCGAAATGACGAATGTAAGCCTGACGGTTTTGATTGTCATTTATACCCATACCATCCATAATATTCACGTGCATCATAATTTTGATGAGACGTTTCAGCAACTGGGTTCCATTTCCCTTTTCGCATACAGCGTTTGGGCAAACCACTACATTTTAAACACAAATGTAAACTGAACTTTAAGGCAACAAAAGGGAACAGTAGAATATTAAATCTAAATTAGCTGATTAAAGAATGCGCCAGAGTGTCAGTTATTTTTTTCCAGTTTTTTTAGAAGTGACGTTTCTTTTGCCTTTCAATATAATATTAACTTTATAATTGATCATGTTTCATAGGTAGGATAAATATTCTTATTCGTATTCTCGAAATGCGCGTAAATGGCGATCTAAATGAGCAGCCCTTACAATAAGAATTTGTCATGCGTAGAATTTCACATTGAAAATACCATACTTACGACAAAAATTGATTGTAAGATTTATTTGAGAAAGGGGTCCTGTGTCTATTGGACTAACAAATGAGTGTATGTTATACATAGTATTGTATTGTATAAAACCTGATAAATGTTACAGTGACATAATATCTTTGTAAGTTAATCATTATAGAAATATATTCATGTAGTTCTTTATTTAACAGTGTAAAAATAGATTATGTAAGGGGCAGGCCCGTAGTCAGCCCAGGGTCTCAAGGGGGGGTGGGGGGGCAAAATTTCTTAGAGTTCATATCCCCAAACTATACATGTTGTCATTATAGAGTACTGTACCGAACTATAGATGTTGTCGCTATAGAGTACTGTACCGAACTATACATGTTGTCGCTATAGAGTACCTCCCAACTATACACGTTGTCGCTAAAGAGTTCATGTCCCCAAACTGTACATGTTGTCATTATAGAGTACTGTACCGAACTATAAACGTTGTCACTATAGAGTACCTCCCAACTATACACGTTGTCGCTAAAGAGTTCATGTCCCCAAACTGTACATGTTGTCATTATACAGTACTGTACCGAACTATACACGTTGTCGCTATAGAGTACCTCCCAACTATACACGTTGTCGCTAAAGAGTACTGTACCAAATTATACATGTTGTCACTACAGAGTACTGTACCGAACTATACACGTTGTCGCTATAGAGTACCTCCCAACTATACATGTTGTCGCTATAGAGTACCTCCCAACTATACACGTTGTTACTATAGAGCACTGTCCCCAACTATACATCTTGTCACTATAGAGTACTGTTCCCAACTATACACGTTGTTACTATAGAGCACTGTCCCCAACTATACATGTTGTCACTATAGAGTACTGTTCCCAACTATACACGTTGTCGCTAAAGAGTTCATGTCCCCAAACTATACACGTTGTCGCTAAAAAGTACTGAATAAGCTCCCTTTCCGGTCAGACCAAATGTAAATGGTAAGTATGCCATATTTTCTCATTATTCCAGTTTACCAAGCTATACATGTGCACTGAAAAATTCATCTTCCATCACTACAGTCGATCAAGCTGTAAATATAGGTGCGGATAATCAGAACAAGATCAATGCTAAGAGGCTCAAACAAGTTAAAAATTTAACACCGATGGTCGGCTAGCAGTGATTCAGAAAAGCCATAACCACTGGCGTTACTGTCAGCTGTCAGGAAATATACCAGGATAAATCAGTTAAAAATATGTGAACAACATGTTCTGCGTTTAGGCTCAATCGATTTACTGAATCAACCCACTCTTTCT